GGGGGGGGGCCGGGCCCCCCGGCGCTCACATTCGAGCCCCAACCCCGGGCCTGGCTCCAGGGTGGGGCCCCGGCTGCGCCACGCCAGGCAACGTCACAGTCCTTGATTTTAATCTATTCATAAAGGGCCAGCCTAGATATAAAGATTGCAGAGACATAGTTTTAGCACAGTTATAATAAAGTCTAAAAGCAGAAGCTGTCACCACATCAGTAGTAAATGTCAGTCTGAGTCAAGCAAGAATGACATTCTTTAGCAACTTTTTACAATTATTCATTGACGCTCCCTGGTAAACTTGCCATTGTACACACACATTAAGTAATCGCAACTTGAAAACATAGAGTGTTAAGAAATGGAGTGTTCTATTATTCATTACACCAAATTTTAATATGTCAGAGACTGATGTGCTGATTAGTAGAGACTGAGTAGACCAGGACACAATGCTATCTTGTGGCGTGTACGGGTGAGAAGGCAGGAGATGGCGTGGCTCACTGGCAGAGCAACCCACAGAATAGAGATTGTGTGTGACTATACCTTGTCTGTGTGGCTGGTGCAGTGACAAGATGAAGAGTGGTGTGTAGTCAGGAAGGACCAGGGACAGCGTAGCTTGTTGGCACGAAATACAAGCACGAGATCAACCATAACATTATCACACTGTAACTGGACAAGCAATTTTATCAGAGAAGCGTTCAGTTCATCAGCCTTGTGAACCAGAAGTCTGCAAATCTGATCTTTCCCTGACATCCAGTAATCCAAACTATGATGGTCTCCTTTGATGTTGTATGTAACCTTTTGTTCTTCTTGCAGGTCATAGGAACTATTTCAAAGATGTTGAGATGATGCTGGGCTTTCCTCCTCCTCTCTTCTTCAAAGTCTGTTGGAGATTCATCTCCCCTGTCATTATCTCTGTAGGTAAACACACACATACTGATCTGAGACTAATCATGGTGATTGTATCTGCATTAAAATTGTAACATAGTTAAATGTCTTTCCCCCTGCGGGGTCTCCTAATTGGAGATTGATGAAGGACAAAACACATTGGTTCAGCAATTTAAGGGTGTATGTTTGTCAACTTTACTGAGTTGGTGACACTTAGTTATGGACTTGACCTGCATTTGAGCTGCCATCAACTAATCTGTTTGGCTGTTCTTGGCATTGTTTCCAACATAAACATAAGCAAATTTCTCTGACTCGGAAATGGACATATGCAGCTGCCATCTGTGGTATTTTCCAAGCAGACGTATTAGCCCACTAAGCTGCTGGGCCAACCAAGAAATTTATTGCTGTGGATTACTGGTCAGGTTTCAGACACTTTTGTTCTGTCTTTCATTCGATTGCTCTCAAGGGCCTCTGCCAACACTGTGACTAAGCTCACTGCTGTTGGGTACAGTCAGGATTTAGGATCACAATTATCTGGAATGTTAAATGCAAGAAATGCCCTGTGTGTTGCTGTCTACAGATATTTCACCTGTGTAAAGTTTCTGGTGAAGGAAGAGTTTGTTTTTTCCTTCAACAGAAGCAACAACAGCCGTTTGTTTGCATTAATTATGACCACAATGGCGACCTCATATCCATTCATTAGTCTTTATTGCTTCAAGCTTTTTGCAGATGATCACATTAAATATGTATATGTTTTGAAATAATGTAACCGTTGTTATGGCATATTTCTAAATCAGCTCTTTATTTATACTGTTGCATGCAGCTTTAAAGCTGCAGTTTTAAAGATCTGCTCTAAATGATCATCATCTGCTCATTCTTGGTGTCTCCCCTGTCTTTGTAGTTCATCCTGATCTTCACAGTGATCCAGTACAAGCCTATCACCTACAATGACTATGTGTACCCCGGATGGTCTCTGGCCATCGGCTTCGCCATGGCTCTGTCCTCAGTGATCTGCATACCCATCTACGCCTTCTACAAGATCTCAAGGTCCCCAGGAGCCACCTTCAGAGAGGTACAGACACTTTTGTTCTGCCTCAGTTCTTTCTCTTGTCAGTACGAACCTCCATGGCATGTTCATGAAATATAAATGTGTTATAGCACTGGTTAGCTTGCTACTTGCCAGCAAATTACCACAGTCATTTAATTAC